AATAACTAAGTACCTGGTGGAGCCGCTAGCAGCAACGCCACTTTATAAGGGTCTATATTCTAACTGTATGGGTATCTGAAGGTATAGCTCCACGCATTATTAACCTCGGAAACAGATTAATGTACCTGGTCAGTTCCGTTTAAAACCGGGAAAATAGTCCCGGGCACCCTTTTTAGTAGAAATGGTTCAATGATGAACAAATAAGTTTGCTTCTGCCTGGAATCAGAACTTGGTCACATAGCCCGGCCATAGTCACTTAATTATCTAATCAATTCCTTCTGAACATGTGAATCCACTCACAGCCTGGCAGGCTTCACTTCACTGCCAGTACGGGGCGTAAAAATGACGGCGAACTCCGTAATGATACAGCATCGTTTAATTCTGCTGTTCCCGACCCAGTTCAAATTTCATTCATGTAAAAACGGTTAAGATCTTATACATAATTCACAGACCGGCTGAACCTCGCTTCGGAAATGGTTTGTAAATCTTACGTCTGTGATTTTGTGTTCACTCTTTCTCTTTTCCTTTCGACATTTGCATAATATCCGACTTTGTTTCGGTCTCATAAAGGAACAAGTGCCGAATTTTCATAATTCACATTTAATCCTCCAGTCCATCACATCTATTCGCCTCTTCCAGCGTACTTAGTTTCCCTCAGAGCTGCTACGTGGCGCCATCACGAATCACAAGGAACTTGAGATTACAATTCCGTCACTCAGACAGCCGGACTAGAAATACAGAGTTTTAAATACTTTAAACAATTCTCATATTTCTGTAGTACCGAAATAAATCCGACTCAGCTTTCTCGTTCGTTTCTATGCTGGCGTACTTTAGTATGCAGCGCGTGTGGTTCCACCCGATAAGACGCCAACTTCTTTGTCACAGGAACGAGACAGGCCAGTATACTCGGCATTTTGTTTGTATAGGATGAGTACAAAACACATATCTAATATTCTTTGGCTTGCTCATTTAAGGACATCAGGCCATACCAATAATACCTTTCAGCTAACAGTGACTAAGCTAGTCAACAAATGTCCATATTTGTTGGTGGAAAATTGCTCACACGTGCTCGCTATTAAAATCCAACGTGAGGTACATTAAACCAGTTCACAACCATCGTACCTTATTTTCAAGGTCCATTTTAATATTATCTTCTTGGATGTACATATATACGCTTTTTTATTTACTTAAATCATACTGCAAGAGCTCAAGAACATTTTGACTCCACCGCATGAAACAATCTAGTTGAAAAACAGCGCTAGATAACCAAAAATCAATCATCCATAATCATTAATTAAACACGTAGCAGTTCGACGCCCAATCCTTAATGTTCAGCTGTTACGTTGTGGCGTAATAAGCAACCCTGTGTTCTTAGCTCGTGTTGAGGCAAGATTTCCTGCGCCTTAAAGTAATCGCTGGTAGACTTGTTTAGGTAATGGCAGTGGTTGCGTTGCGTCTGTGGACGGCGGTTAAATAGGAATGGAGTAGGAACATGGCGTCTAAATAAACAAACGCTAAAAATACAAAAGTAAAGAAGCAGAAGAAGATAAGGCACTTTCGCAAGGAGATAAAACGTAACTTGCGCGTGGGGGATGTACATTTTACTCTTTTAATCCACTTAGCGTACATCCTACTTTAATTCAAATGAAGTCTACCATTTGTAAGAGACTATAAAAATAAAAGCCTCTGCCTGCTGTATACCTGATACATGAGACAGTGCGTGGCAGTTGCTTCACCTCCTGAAAACTACGTCCTCTTTAAAATGCACGGACACAGGAGTCTCTTTGCCTTTTCACAAACAGCGTCCAGTCTTTGTTCTTTCACCAATATTACACGTGTAGCCTACCGGCATGGATAGTAAAGAACTCCCATAAATAAAACATATAACTAGGGGATGTTCTGTATGAGGTCTGAAGGACTATGCTGCTGCTTGTACGTGCGTACACACGCATGTCCAAACAGTATTTACGACATTCATTCACAATTCACAATTTACCTTTGGAAGCCAAAGCTCTTCTAAATAATATTTTAGAATTTACGTCTTCCAGCTGCATATTCCGTAAGTCGTAAGAGTATAAGACACATTTATATGGTTAAGGTCAGTAAAACCACATAGAACAAAATATGTAATTGAGAGAAGATTTTAAAATGGCTTTCCAGTTACTCATTAAAACAAGCCGTTTGCATAGAAAAGTCCACATAAAAATATATTTGGTTAACTTCACAGCCCGAATGCGCCACAGTCCCAGTCACGAAACTTAATTACCCTCCTTCTAATGTCATCGATGCTAATTAAAAATCTGAAAGCAAATACTTCCTCACGACGCCATTTTATCCATTTTTCAGTAAGTTACATTTTCTTACAGCTACTTGTTCTAGAAAAGTTATACGTTTTCAGACACCTGTATCACCTATTCTCATGGACAAAGAAACCAAGCTGTCTATTCAGTTAATTTGAGACGACATTTTCACTGTTTAATCCATACAACATCGGTGATTATAAAATGTAAAATTTAGTGTAGGGAGCAGTAGTTACTTTACGGTAGACCTACTGTCCATAAATGTCTGAAGAGACTGAGGACAACTGCAGAAATATTATCAGAAAAATCAGTCTATTACCAGGATGCAAACTACGTACTTCCCGAATGTAAGCAAAAAACGCTACAACTTTGCCAACCTGTTATATGGATTTAGATGTTTTCTGTTTTCAAAGAATATGTTAACATATTAACGGAAATTTACACTCCCTTAGGTATCGTTAAAATAAGAGCTTAGTTGTTGTGGCCCTGTCACTTAGACCAATTATACCCTAAAACATACATTTCCTATGCTGAAACGAAAAAGCGAAGACCATCTGGACATAGAAATTTTAAATTCTGCGTTCTGTCCAGTTCGGTTATATAATTCACGATTTATCTGGTAATGGCAAAGAATTAGAATAGCCTAAGCATAACAAAAAAAAATGGAAGGATTTTCATTCATATGCGCGCAACACGTGTGTTCATGAAATATAACGTCTGTATATGAGTACTGAAACGATAGTTCAGTCTGAATAGTAGGATCATAAACCACCAATGCAAAGAAAATTCTGAAATGTAAAAAGTGGACAGTCTATCAGTCTGGATACTGAGTAACACAAAGTGCAGAATGATGGATTTTTCCACGTTACCGTTCCGCACGTCTACAGCACTCAGCTAAAGAACGTACCGGTGCAGTGGGTGGCTTCCGCGACTCTGGGACTTTACTACAAAATAAAGTTAAGGAAATTCAGTGACAAAAATTCCACCATTTTTAAGTTTATTTCTAAACGAAGTCCTAATACACAATTATTTAGTTGTGTTAAGGCATATTGACGTACTCATAAAGAAAGATAATTAGCAACTCTTGTTCTCATAAAATCTCACAGCTGTTTCCTAAGTCGCAGATGCAAAGTAGCTACCGAAGAGTGATTAATGTAAATTAAAATTTTCGCTCAGGTTATAAAGCCTTTTTGATCTTACCAATCCTCGCAAAGAATAAAACATGACGTAACATTAACTGGCCCTACATCATGGCTTTCTTTCTTCATTTACTTTTAATTACAACGTCAAACAACAAAATAACTCATCACAATTACTCTGTGAACATCATAAACAAACCGTATAATTATATTGCAGTAAAAAAAGATATAAAAGCAATTAGATGAAAGTGACGCAGGGGAGTAAACTAAAATGTAACTAATACAAACTGGAAGCCTGTAAAAGAGTGCAAACTGTCAGCCAATATTTCAAAGCACAAAGACTGCCTCCGTTACCTCCACGTAACGTTATTGAATACGG